ATAATTAATTCAAGAAAAATGTGAAAATGCCTGCATATTGCACTATTGTGTAATTAATAGAATTTCTGATTGGTAAACAGTCACTACACATAAACACAGAATTTGTGCTGATATAAATCAAATGCCATTTAATGAACCAGTTACTCAAAGGTAAGCGTGTTTATAAATGAATAAAAATATTAAAGAGTTATTTTGAATGCATGACTTAGAATGCTTGCAATAGCAAGTAACCGAGCACCCAACTCAGAAAAACTGGCTTTATTGGCTCTTGAAACTGAAATATTTAGAGGTATATCAGGCTTCAGGTACAGTTTTATCAGGGTGTATTAATCTGTTCTCGTTCTGCTAATTAAGATACCTGAGACTGGGTAATTTATAAACCAAAGAGGTTTAATTGACTCACAGTCCCACATGGCTGAGGAAGCCTCACAATGACAGAAATCAAGGAGGTGCAAAGCCACTTCTTACGTGGCAGCAGGCCGGAGTGCATGAGCAGGAGAACTCCCCTTTCCATCATATCTCATGAGACTTATTTACTATCACAAGAACAGCACGGGAAAGACCCGCCCCCATGATTCAATTACCTCCCACCGGCCCCCCCCACCCCCGCCACATTACGTGCAGATTACGGCAGTTACAATTCAAGATGACATTGGGTGGAGACATAACGAAACCGTTTCACAGGTTTTCTCTGTGTGTCTCTAATTTTATTGCTATTTATTTCTGCTTCTCATTGGGCTAGTTGCCTTGTGTTCCCTAGATTGTATAATAAAACCATCCCTTTTCTATTATGTTATTACACTTTATGTTTTTAAGACTTGAGAAACTTCATGAAATTTATCTTTTATACTTATCACATGAAGGTGAATGTTCCAAGATACTCGTTACAGGAACAAATCTCTCATGGAAAGATGAATGGCATTACTATCTTGGCCTTGCGTTGAAAGAGAAATTAGAAGACTTTCAAGAAGTTTACTTAGAGGAAGTTTCAATGTGCCCTATTTGCATATCAGTGTGTGCGATTCTTATTACTAAAGCCATTTCAAGTTATCAAGAGGGACTTTGCATTAATGCAAACAGGAAAACAATAATTTAGGAAAAATATGATGAGAAAAACTCTAGATTTTAGTTAGAGTCAAAGGATATTTTATTGCAACATGATTTTTACTAACATTATTATGAAGGTGGATCCAAAATCTCTATAGCTTCGAGGACAATAAAATTAATACAGTAGGAGATGAGAAAAAAAGTATGTGAAACAATTTGATTGAAAAGGCATTTTGCTTAAAGTATCAATAAAATGTAAACAAATAATTATTAAGGTACATGACATTCAATTAGATCGCTTAGATTTTGTTTTTATAAGCAGAATTATGTGACGAACTAAAAATGTTTTAATTATATATTCCTCAGGGTTTGTGGAAAGCTATGTTGATCTGGGCCTGTTTTAATTGTAATTCCTTTATTTTGCCTCTCATTACTCCTGAAATATGCAGCATATTCAGGTTTCAATGACTGAGGTCAGACCTGAGAGTCAGGTTTGATGGTACTGATAATTTTGGGAGGTTCAAATTTTGGGTAAATTCCCATGGAATTGGTTTTACCTTTAATAAATTGTTATTTTATGACATATTTTGTTTTATAATTAAGTTCTTAAGCTTACATTAATGCAGTTATGAAGAAGATCAAAGTATATCAAACACACTCTGTCTTTATCAGTAAAGGTTCACAGTCCTATATATAATATTAGGGTTTCTGGCGTAAAATCATAGCTACCAAAAGAAATAAAGGGCTTAGCATACACATTAGAATGGAAATCTTTGAGGCATTATTTAAAATTAGGGCCTAGTAACCACAATTTTTTCAGGCAACTTTGTCCCCTAAAGGGATAGGTTAAATACAAAGATCATATTGGTAGTAAATTATCTTTCTCTAGATCTCCTACTTGCTGAAATTGAGGTACATCTAGTCCCATTTAAATATCACCTGAATATTTTTAGAAATTCCTAAGGTATATCTCCTATGGTCATTCCTTCACTGGGATTCACTGTTTCTTCTGTTTTTATTGTTTCTTTTTGTCTTAGTTTAACTATTCAGAGGGCACTGATTCTAGGGTCATCCCTGTGGGCTCCCTGGTAGAGAGATCCTCCCCTTCCTTGAAAATCTGAAAACCATGTTTATAATCGGACACTTTCAACACAAATTTCTGGTGTAATATCTTAGTTCTAGATAGGCAAATTATATTGTTTGCAGAATAACCTGGTCACAGACACAAGACAACAAAATGAATATTACAGCATTAAAGACTTCATTCATTCATTCAAATTACTATTTGGTTCTACAACAATCACTTCTGAGAAATTTTATAGATGACAGTTTTAAATAAATGCTGATAAAGCAAACTGCCAGGCTGATCAATGAAGATGCTTTTATTCTTGCAAAGAACTTTCAACATTCTGAACAATTATCCATGATTGAATCAATGCGGGAAAACTTACCTTCTTACACTACAATATTGAAAGATAGTTCATGGTTACATACTTTTAAAAACTATCTTGGGAAGAGTAGAAAACACATTTGAAGGAAGACAAGGGAACAGGCATTTCCCTAAAAAGATCTAGGTTTTAATTTCCTAAGCAGGTTGTTACAAATTGCTTTTCTCTTGGCTTTAGATTCTTATTTTCTTGGATTTCTCCTGTACTACCAGTACTGTTGTCCTCCTCCTTATCTGTAGTACATTTCAGCCAGAAGGCAGGAGAGCAGCTGTCTCCACTGGAGAAACCAATTATTTGCCAAATGGATGGGCTGCTGCCTGAATTCACTGGCTGTTTCTTCCAGCATCTCGGGGTACCATGTAGTCAGTGCAGTAACCAAAGCCTTCAGCTCTGATGCACAGTCATGGATTTACTCTGCAGCTGATGAAGTTTAGAAAGACCAAAAATTATATAAACTACATCAATGCAAAAATCTGGATCTGACCTTGTAATTGGAAATTCAGATCTTATTTCAGTGGAGTATAACATCTTTGTAATCAATTACTACTTAAACTTGATTTTTTTTTGGCTGTTGATTTGATACTTCAAAGACGGAACTGTGAAAGAAAAGTTGGAATAATACTCACAAATACAACTAAATAATTCAGTCTTAAACATACAATATTGAGTGAATTATCTCAACACAGAAAATAAAAATGTTCCTTAATGGATTGCTCTGTAAACTTAATATAATTATGAATAGTCTTTCATTATCTTTAACACAAAGTATACATTTAACAAATGTTCCGTGAATAAATAAATTGGTGGGTAATTAACTAAATTTGTCTTGCCAGTAGATGATCTATATGGACTCTGGACTATCTTTTGGTTTTTATATCTTATGTTCCACCAGTCAATGTATCAAATTATATAAACCATATTTGATAGAAAACATCTATTTCTTTTACTAAAGTCCTATTTATAGGTATATATTTAATACTTCAATAATTATTAACAGTTTATGTCTCACTAAACAACAACCTTTGGTTAAAAAACACAACATAAGATATTCTTTTATTAAATAATTTCCTTCCCTTCTGGCACAGATTTTTAATATAAATTTAGGTTTAGAACAAACCTTCTATAAAATTGACATTGTTTTAAAAAATGTATTTTTTAAATATTTCCAGAGGTTGATAGCAGCCATCATCAGTGGTTGGGTTTTTTTTAAAATAAAAATTGTCACATTATATATGCAGAAAGTTTCATTTACTTAAGTTTAAAATAAAGGAAATACATATTCCATATTTTTAATATTTCTAAGAAAATTAAGTACTTATTTTTTATTATATTTATGTAAGACTCAGAGGCAAATGACTTGGGCAGATATATACACAACAAAGTGTGCATTTTTAGGGAACTAAAATAAAAAATTTGATTAGATGAGAAAAAAATGCACATAGTCTCAGATGTAACATAATTGCATAGAAAGGAAATTTTTTCGGCATTGTTATAAAATAGACAGAGAGTCGCTCTGAAATTGACACTTGGAGGAATCGGAAAACCATGACAATAGTTCTGTAAGGGGATGGTAATTTGGCTATATAATTAAATTGGAATGTGTTCAGTAAGCAGATGTGTGCAAATAAAGAAGAATCTGAGCTTCGGGCTTGCACTTCTTGATCTTTCTTTTGTTTGCTTTTTTATGAGGACACCCCATGGCTTTTTGTTGTTGCTGCGTTGTTGTTGTTGTTGTTTTTCTCCAAACTAAATTAGCTTCCAGCCTAATACACTTCTTAGGGTTTACTCAAAAGCCTGCCAGCCTGCAGAATTCCATGTTGTCAACAGATGGCGTAAGATGTGATTCACCGTGCTCAATGACTTCAAACAATTTGCTACTGCTGTACCAAAGTTGGTTTGCAATTATTTCCATGCTACACTTGAGTGGAAACTAACTTCATGAGGTTTCAAATGTCATTGAAATATGTGACATTATTTGGGAATAAAACAGGAACAAAGAGTTTTTTTTTTTAATTTTATTTTCCTTTAAAATAATGGCTTAAAGAGAGGAGACATGAGTACCTATTTCTTCCACCAGCCACAGTGGACTATCTACCAGTCTTTTCACTATTTATATCCCACGATGTGGGGCTCAAGTGACCAACGAAATATGGATAGCATTTTGTAAACACAATTCTCAGCAAATTTGTGGTGTCTATTATTTTGCTTGTATAAATCGATACAGTTTGGCGTAGTGCCAAAATAACATATGGAATTTGATTTCAATATACATTTGGACATAAACATAAATGATAAAAACTTTAAAATACAGTAACAGAGAAGAAAGATAATAAATTTGAAGAATTTAAAGCTACAAGTTCCTTTAGACACCTGTAAGTATAAACTGCCATTAATTGATGAGTACATTGGAAACAGGAAGTACAACTTATGTCGTTCCGTGTTACACACTACTATATTGCAATATACTATTAGCATAATAATGTTGAACATTTATGAATAACTTACCAAATTCATATTCACTGTCCTCCCTAGTGACAACATTATTAGCTTGACTTTTTAATACAGTAGCACCGCATGAGGCTTTAGAAACATTAAGCCTAGAAAGAGAAATGTAAAATTCAATAAGCTAATCAAATAGTTATTTTCCTGAACACCGGATGTGAAAACCTTGGCCTATCTGTCCCTTTTTTATCTAGGCTGATTTTCATTCTTCTCATAACAACTCACATTCAACGTCTGTTATATTTGCCTTTGAAGCAAATTTATTACATAAATAATCAAAAAATAAGAACTAGCTATTTATATATTAAATAATATATACTTTTCTGTTTTTCAGGAAATAAACCACTATTTTGTAAGAAGATATTAATATGTTAGAAAAGAACAATTGATCAGGAAGTTGTCAGATTAATTTAAAGGATGTACCGCTGCATATTCTAAAATCAATTTACACATAGCATATTGAAAATAAACGCTAAGGCCAGGTGCGGTGGCCCACACTTGTAATCCCAGCACTTTTCAGACCGAGGTGGGCGGATCACGAGGTCAAGAAATCGAGATTATCCGTCCAATATGGTGAAACCCCGTCTCTACTAAAAATACAATAACCAGCCGGGTGTGGTGGAGTGCACTTGTAACCCCAGCTACTCTGGAGGCTAAGGCAGGAGAATAGCTTGAACCCTGGACGCAGAGGTTGCAGTGAGCCGAGATCGTGCCACTACACTCCACACTCCAGCCTGGGGACAGAGCAAGACTCCGTCTCAAAAAATGATAATAATAAAAATAAAAAAGAAAATAAAAGTAACTCTAAGATGTAAAATATAGCTTTCTAAATTTAAACTGCTTATTTATACTGTTATGAATGAATTGTGGAAAAAGAAAGAGATCGCATAATGAATACCAGGAAGGGATAAATGGACACTGAAATCGTTGTGGACAGTAATGACTAGACGCATTCCATGATATTAGAAATGCACCATTTAAGCCAAAATGTGTGACGAATCTCTCTCTTCTAAGCATGGAATGAAAAAAGAGTCCAGCAATTTCTAGTTTGTTGGTTAGGAGTTGGGAACATTTGTGTGATTAGGAGCATTTATTTTAAAAATGAAAAAAATATGTGAACCCCTGCAATAGCTTTTTGTTAAACAGTGAAAAATAAAAGTTAATAATGAAATAAAGTTAAAGTATAAGGATCTTGAAATGACTTGCATCCTGATTATTAGTGGTTTCTCTGCAGGAATTAGGTATGAGTTTTAAGAAGCAAAGCTACTCTACTCTCAAATTACAGAAGCAAAACCAACTTGAAAGCTCATGAGGAAACAGCTCTCATTCTCATATTCATGTAGGAAAACCTACAAAGCAAAATCATCTTTGTTCAAGTGTCTTATACAGGCAGTAAATTAACTAGACAAAAATTATACTAACAAATAGATGCAAAAAGTATATATATATAATAACCCAGTTATGAATAGTTTCATTATTTCTTAAATTTGTAGATTTAGAAATAAAAATATTTACAATAAAATGTGATTAAAAGTTATTCCATAAGGCCAAGCACTGCTTAAAATCTACTAGGTAATCCACAGATCTTTATTGAGTTAAGTTTCTAATGAAGTGCTCTAAGACTACATGAGATGCTATGAACACATCAAAGGATAGAACAAATACCCACCTCTTTCTCTAATCTATTAGGTTGCAATTGTATATTATGAAAATTGTAAAGTAATTACTCAAATTGAGGATAGGGATTATATACTATATTTTTTTCAAAATGAAACTGAATTCATATACATAGAGAACAATGGGATAGCTCAGACTTTAGTGTTTTATTTTGATTTAAAGTTGAAATACTTTAAATTAGTGTTGTTTGGTTTAGTTTTAATGATTTCCTGTTTGTTCCAGGTTCTCCTGAAGTGGCATAGTCAATATTTTTCCTGTGTTTTTTTTAAAAATTATTATTATTATTTTAATTTTTATTTTAAGGACACACAACTGCAATAGGCAGAAACTGATGTCTCTACTATTGGGGAGTGAAGTGACCAAGTATAAATTCTGCATTTTCTATGTTGCTTCTACAAATTGTTCATAAAAATATTATAATAAATGTTAATGAAATTTCCTATCATTATAAAAATTTCATGTAAATTACTCATAATTAAGAAGGGGAAATACTTTTTATGTCATATTTTATTGTTTTTATTTAATAAAGATTACGGGAGGCTGGGAATGGTGGCTTACACCTATAATCACTTTGGTAGGTCGAGGTGAGCAGATCACCTGAGGTTTCGAGTTCAAAATCAGCCTGGCCAACATGGCAAAACTCTGTCTCTACTAAAAATTCAAAAATTAGCCAGGCATGGTGGCAGTGCCTGTAATCCCAGCTACTCAAGAGTCTGAGGCAGGAGAATTGCTTGAACATTGGAGGCGTAGGTTGCAGTGAGCTGAGATTGCACCACTTCACTCCAGCCTGGGTGACGGAGTGAGACTCCATCTCAAAAAAAAAAAATTACTGGAATAAAGGCCAAAAATATATTTAATAATTTAATAAGGGGTATTGCTTCCAATTACCTTGCTGAAAGCAAAATCTTTCCTAATTTTTATGTCATTCATCTTCTTGTTCTCCATTTAAATATAAAAGCATGTTGTGTACAAAAAATATGTTTGGCTGTCCAAAATCAATTTCTTCTTTCTTCTGGTAACGGAACAGATATATCCTATATTTTTCTCCACAAGGCCAATTTCAGATGGTCTCAATGGACTGACCCTTCCCACAGTTACTTTATCCAGTCGTTGCCATCAGATCATCCGTTATTAAACCAACCTGACTGGTTCAGTAAGCGGCTCATCATTCAAGTTCATGTAATTCAAGAATTACTTGAATTATAAGGTAAGACTATTATCAAGACTTTATTTCGAGATTGTTTGATTCAAGTAGTAAATTATGTGACTCAGTCTTCAGAATAACATTGTGCCACGTGTGGATAGAGGTCATCTGATTATAAAGCTTAATAGAGGTTACGAAAGCCAAGAAATGGAGAAAAGAAAAGGCTCTACCATTGAAGGAACAATCTGTTTCACCTTTGCCCAAACTACGTCTTGGATTTGCCAAATAAATAATTTCCCTTTTATATATATGATTGCTGTTATTGTTTTAAGTTTGTTTAAGCTACATTTGGTTGGAATCCAGGTAAAGTCAAAAGAAGTTACATTATTAAAATAATCTGAAATTACAAAATAATAATAATAATAAAATAAGATAAACAACATGTGACTAAATTCTCACATCCAGAGATATATAGGTTCAAGTGCTAGAACTCAGATTGTGAAGAGATAGAATCATCATCCTATAAAATATCTTATTACCAGAATCGAATCCATAAAAACTTGCCAGTTGAAAAACTTAGTAATATCTAAAATGCAAGCTAACTGGGAGATGGGGACCCTTTAGGAACTTAGATGATCCCCAGACTTTGTCTCAACTAAAATTGTAGTAATGGGTGATTTGGGGCAAATTATTAATTATTATAAACCTCTGTTTATTTGTTTATACAATGACAGTAATAACAGCATCTTAGGACTGTTTTCAAGATTGGATGAGCTAATAAATGCAAAAACAAAAATGTTGGCACAATTCCTAGAAGCCTTCAAATAAAAATAAAACTACTATTTTTTCCCTAAGGAGTAAATGTTCTAGTCAAGTGAAGAAGAGAGCACAGAATGATTTCAGTTCCAACAGAGACATTGGAGAACTCTTCATAAACAAGACAGGAGCCTCATAGGGACTGGCTCTGCACAGCAGGGCTGAGGAGAGGCAGTCTAAATGGAACCCAGATCACAGCCTTCAAGGGTAATCAGACAGAAACCTGGGGGCAATGAGGCAAAATCTGGGTACACCTGCTGGTGAACAATGATTTTTAATATATCATCTGCTTGGCTGAGGAAGACCCAGGGCCATCTATTGGGCTAGAGGAGTCAAGGATGTGACTGCAGAAGTGAATTCTTAGCTGTGGGGACGAGGAGAGACTAGAAACATTGATCAAAATGATTCTATAGGGATTAGAAGAGACTAGATTCATTGATGAAAAATATGCCTCACCCCACATGCACAGACAACTATTGCTTAGTGTATTGTATGAAGGAGAGACTACCAATTATCCCTTCCCATATTTTCCTGCCTCCACTTTCAGGTTAACATTTATCTCCCAGAAACAATGAGTCTCAAGATAAACATCTCTGACTAGTCATTGACTCCTATGCCTGGAAACAAAAAGAGAAAATGAGGTTGGGGCTCATGGTATCTTCTAGAAAGAATGAAAATTACAGCAGGGAAACTCTCCTTACCAATCACCTGGACTCAGACCATTTAGCATCCCTGCTCCTAGTTCTCCTTTCCATGACAGTGGGGCTTTACTTAGGCTAATTCATCTACCTTCACAGCTGCCATGCCAGAAACTAGAAATGCTATTTCATTGGCTTTCTCTTGTTTTAGATTTGTTTGAAGTGGTTTTTAATCATTATTAATTTAACCAAATTATATTGGTTATAAAATTGTAATTTGAGCCAAATTAGGAGTGAAAAAAGTTGTTTGTTTTTTGGATTTTGTTTATTTGTTTTGCTTTTTTTTAATTGACCAGTGCAAGGCTGGCTCTAATTAATATACTAAAAATAGTATATGTTAAACCCAAATTTAAAATTATTTCTATTTTTTCCCTTTATAAATATGATAAATAAATTCACAATTACATGAAGTCCCTAAACACAAGCTATATTTTGCCCACTGTCCAAGGTTGAGGTCTTTATTGAAGGCAATACAGGATGTTACAAGCATAAGCTGTCCCTCAGGGAACACAAACCAACTAGGGTTCAAATATTCATAATAAGCACAAGAATAAGACTCTCCGAGGACTTATTCTTTACATTTTATATTTGAATGAAAATCGTTCTTATGTGGAGGAAGTTCCAATTGTTTTACTAGAAAATGCCTTTAGATAAAATGATTTAAGCCTCAATTCCAAATCTCACGTAAAGACACTTAATTCTATTTTCTCTATATAGATGATCTCTATATCCAAGAAGAAATGTCCTTATAATATATAAC